AGCTATTATGTAGGTAGTGATTTCATTTTTGTAGGTGGGAACACAAGCCAACTTAAGCAGAGGCAGCAGGTCACAGAAGAAGTGATTGATCCCATTGGGACCACAGTATGGAAGGGTAAAGATGAAAGTTGTTTGCATTAAGGCCACCAAGACCCCAGTAAGCCAAGACACAGCTGAAAGCAGGAAGCCCATGTTCCAGCTCATCATGGTCGTGTAGTGCAGTGAGTGACATATGGCCACATAGTGGTCATAGGCCATGGCAGCCAGCAAACAGCATTCTGTGATCCCCAGCAGGGAGAAGGCATACATCTGTGTGGCACAGCCCAGAAAGGATATGTTCTTCCTCTTTGTGAGAAAGTTCACTAGCATCTTGGGGATGGTGGATGTGGTATAGCCAATATCCAGGAAGGAAAAGTTCTTAAGGAAAAAATATGTGGGAGAGTGAAGGGCAGCATCTACCATGGTGATTGTAATGATGAGGATGTTTCCCACCAAAGTACTGAGGTACATGAACAATAACAGACAAAAGAGAGAGGCTTGGATCTCTGGAATGCTGGAGAAAGGTAAAAATTGAAAATAGGTCACCACAGTGTGATTACTGCTGTCCATGTCCCTCAGCTGTCTTTCAACTGCAGAAGTTGTTACATGTCCACTTTCTAGTTAATCTAAAGAAATACAAAATAGTAAATTGAATCTTTAGATATATTACTTTCTAATAGGACAAGATCCCAGAAAAGGAAGTGCTGTGTTTAGGTGTTTTTAGTGCTAAGGATTGTTTAGTGGAGAAAGACAAGGTTGGTTCCTCCACAGCTTTGATAAATAAGGACAGCTTTTCCAACCGAGTGTCCTGCACTTCTAGTCAATAAAAAGGAAGATACATCTTTGTTATGACTTTACTCTTCCTTTTGGGATGACAATTATACTGTACTGCCCCAGTTTTTGAAGTGGACTTTTGTCCCATTATCCAGTAGAGATCTGCAACTATAAACTGTCTGCCAAGCAAAGAAGGCTGGTCATTAAAACCCAGAAATTTTAATTTGTTGATAGAATGGACGTTTGGCAATGAACCCCTCTTGCTATCATTCTGTGAGTGGAGTGCATTCCAGGAAAGAATTACCTACTGAACACAGATGATCCTGTATACCCTGCACAGTACCACACAAAACTACTAAATAATGTGGATTGCACCCCAGGAAATTGCATTTGTTCCAGGCATTCTTCAGGAGGAGCAGTTTTTTTCAAGAATTAAAAATTTCTTGTAATTGATCTTTTATTCCAATAAACCATTCACTTCTTAGGCAGATAAGTCTTCCTTAAAGACAAGTCCTGTGTAGGTGGCAGAGAACAATAACATGCAGAAGAAAAGACAGAAGAATGAAGTAAAATAAGGTAGCTCACCTGTCACTAGGAGAAGACTGTGGTTAATATTTTTGGAAAAGCCACACTACAAACCTTAAGTATTTCTATCTGTCTGTGTTCCCACTGGAAAACAATCTTTTGGGTATTGACTTCTTGCAATTGTAGGAGTCAGTTATTTTTTTCTCATTGTTTAGGTGTGACAGAGCCCTCTCTCTGGTTTTTCTGTTAGCTCCTGGAACAAACTAAAGAAAGACCTATGGAGCACTTGCCTATCTATTTTAATCTGTTATTTTTTGACCATTCATGGCATTAGGCCTGATCCTCTCTAAATTAAGGGATAAAAATTTGGTATGGAAACAAACTGCATAGACTAAGCAGAGGAAAAAAGCTTTCAGGGTTTTGCAGGAGGAAAGAACATGTGCATTGCTCATGTCTAACTCTGGTTTTATACTCTTTAATAATGGTGTGGGAGAGGTGTCCCCTGAAAGAACACATCATGCCAACTCAGATAGGTCCTTCAGATTTCTCAGAACTTTTCCTCTCTGGATATTTCTATTCCTCTGTGGATATTTCTGTCTTTATTTGGATGAATCATACTATCCTTCTGTTTAATTAAACAAAGATACAGCACTCTGTAGTTGTCACTAACCTTATTATGTCCAGAGGACACCTACATCACACTAGGTGGTTCTTCCCTGGAAAATCACTTTCTCTTTCTTGCTCACAGAAGATGACTGTAATGCAGAGGTCATACTGCAGTCAGTGACTGAAAATAAGAGTGGACAAAGACAGTTTTAAGGCCAGGTGAAATAGGATCAGTTTCAATGAGATGTCAACACTGCCGGTGTGGATATCAGTCAGTAATTCCACTTTTAATCAAATATATCCCCATGTTTCTGGAATTGACTGAACTTCAGTCAAAAATCTCTGAACATTAAGAGTGGAAGGTTTCTGTACTCATTCAAATAAACAGTATCTATTGATGCCCAGAAAAGAGCAGATAAAAAACTGTTTAGACAGAGTTTTATGTCTAAAGCAGCAGGTATTTATTGATTAACGGCCGGGCAGCCTGCCAGCTAGTGCTGGGAAAACAGGCTCCGCGTTGGTTAGGTTACAGTGAGCTTTTTATACAGGTTTGGCAATGATTACAACATAAATTACAATATTCATAACAGGTGGAGTTAGGGGCGGAGATTGAGGCGTGGTCTCTATTTTGAGTAATATTATGGTGGTAAATCCTGTTTACCTTCATCCTGGGGGCTGTTTTTTACTCCTCATCCTCGCCTGACCTCGGTGACCTTTTGTTCTTTCTATTGTTCTTATGTTCTGATCACTGAGGCTTCAAGAAAGCCTTGGATCTGAGCCTATTTCACCTATTGAGATGTCACCTTGGCTCCTTTGGCTAAGATTTATTACCTCTGGGCTCTTTGTTCTATGTATCTGTAAATATTTTAGGTACAGAACAAGATCTCCTTTGAGCAAGGTAGAGAAATGGGGGGGAGAACAGTGGGCCCCTGTAGCAAGATGCTTCAGTTAACCCTTCTTCCTTCACTATTAAAAAAAGATCTAAGTCCATCACCTGGGCCCTTTTCTGATCAGAGGGGCTGGGGAGGGACCAGGAGGAGAAGGGGAAGCTGTTCTCCATCATGCGATTTGTCTGAAAAGCTACAGCATGTGTCTGTCAGAGTCAGACCTGGGGATAGTCAAATCTCAATGCGGATTTACTCTGATCCAAGTTTAGCTGGGGACTGCTTCGGTCATAATTCTGATTGAAATGACATCATGCCAGTTAACAGTCTAAGTGCACACTGCTTTACCTCTGACTATGGAAGATGGAAGTTGTATCTTTGGCATTTAAAGGGACATTGTGCTAAGACAGCTGATGCAGCATTGCTAGTGGATCTAAATAAGAAACCACATAATAAGACCACAACAAATAGCTAAATAAAAAAGATTTTTTTAATAAGATTATAATAAAAATCAAGATGAGTAGTGAAAAAATCTTACATCCCTTCCACTGCTGGGAACCCTGCTCTCATGCAGAAGGGGATGAATTTTCCCACAATGTGCTGCATAGAGGTAGCTCTCCCTTTTGGTCACTCAATCTTTTATATAATTCCCTCATAATAAAACAACTTTATTCTTAAAGGATGTTCTCATGAGAACTTGTTTCACTTCCAAACTCAGGCCAGACCATGCAGGTGGTGGTGTCACCACTAAGCTGCCTGCTTACCATGAGCTCCTGAGTTTAACCTGTGGCCAAGGGATGAGCACAGCCCAGACCTGAGTGCCATCCTGGATGTTCAGCACAGCAAAGGCTTGGACCTTTTCAGGTGACCTGTTACATGCATCACAATGGTCTCCTGCTAAGGATCAATATAAGGTGAAGTGATCTTAAATGAAGACCATGGGTATGTGAACAGCAAGTATGGCTGGAGATCATAGGGCAGGGGCCTTAAGGCCTTTCTGTACACTCATGGTCTTCATATGTTGCTGTGCAATTTATCATCTCCCTACAGATACCTACAAGGTTGTCATAAGATGCAGGTCCTCTAGGTTTAGATGGCCAAGTTGATGATAATTCTGTGTCTGCATTTTTGGTGCAGGGGTCTGAATATCTTTTATAGTCAGTGGAGAAAAACAGGCCCTTCTATGGTTTGTTTCAGCTGATTCTGATACACTGTAAAGATTAAGGTGATCTAAATTGTGGAAGTGACCAACTCTCCCCAGAGACTGTAAAGGTACTCCAGATGACTAACTCTGGCCAAGACCTTTACAAGGCTGATGGTTTTATTGAAGTGATTTGCATATCATTTGTAACTTGCAGCCTTCCATCCCTATCTCAGCAGGATTTATAGTCCCATGTGAATGTGGACTGTACCTCAGTTTTGCCTTCAAATTTTGTTGATAAAGCATAAATATGACAAGCCTATGTGACTACTCTCTCATAAATGTGGTGATAATTATGAAGTAATAGTAATCACTTCAAAGTCAAAGACAGCTCTTGATGTTGCACAAGAATACCTAGGTTTATATAGAAGCAAATTATTTAAAACTGGACAGACGAAAAAGGGTGTCTGTGAATCAACTAATATATATGTACACCACACTTAGTAACCAACCTGTGAGTAACAACCATGACTTACTGCTCTAATCAGCACTAGCAAGTCTCAGTGGACTTTATAAATATATATATAGGATCTAGTGCTGGGGAAAAACACCTCTCTTGATTCATTGCAGAGTGCTCAGAGTAGAATGTTTTTCTGGAGACCTCATGATTTAGGATTTTTTTCTTCCTCTTTTCCACTACACTCTCCACAAGGTAACTTCAGAATACATGACTGCCATAAGCCGTGTATTCCACAAGTAAATCCTTGTGAATGCAAAGCCTGTCTCTAAGGGTCCTTTAACCCTTTTCTTGCTGTATAGCCTAGCCATGAGTACAGTCACAAGACGCTTTGGACCGATTGACCTTTCGTGCAACAATCATCCTCAGAGTAGATCACTTAACTAACAGAGAAGTTATCTTTGTTATACTGAAATGTTGCTACTTATGCTGTTGGAACTTGAACTGATTAGTCCATAAAAAATATTTGCCTTTTTTTTGTTTTCTTATTCTGCAGGGTAAAAACTGTAGCTGAACACTGAAGACGCTAGTGAATATGCAAACTTTGAAGGCAGTGCTACGAAAAGAAACCACAGTCAAAAATAGAGACAAAAAATATATGCGTAAGACCACTTAATCTGTTTAAAAGACCTTTTCAAAATCTTGATAATTTCTAAATTCTCCTCATCTTTTTGCCTTTTCAATCAGGCAATGGTGTTTGGATTGCCAATTTGCCTGTTCGTTTACAACTTCATCAACTACTGAGTGCTAAACGAAGAGCATAGTTCTACTAGGTACCAAAGAGGGATGATTCTTGGGAACCTCAGTGAAGTGAGTGAATTCAGACTCCTGGGTTTTTCTGAAATCTCTCATTTGCATCCTTTGCTCTTTGCAGTTTTATTATCTCTTTATATTCTCACCTTGATGGCTAACACAGTGATAGCTCTGATAATAAATGGTGATAACACCCTTCATTCCCCTATGTATTTCTTCCTCACTCAGCTGTCCTGTTTGGATATGTGCTATTTGTCAGTCATAATTCCAAATATTCTTGAGAATCTGATGGTGGGAACAATAGGTATCTCCAAGGCGAGATGTGCCATGCAAATGTTTTTCTTCCTTTTCTTTGGAGTTGCCGAATGTTTTCTCTTGGCTGCCATGTCACTTGACCGTTATGTGGCAATTTGCTGCCCCTTGCATTACACTCTTACCATGAACAGTAGAGTCTGCAAAATTCTGGTTGCTGGGACCTATGCTTGCGGAACTGCTGTAGGCTTGGTGCACACCATCATAACATTCCGCTTACCCTTCTGTGGTTTTGCCATCGACCACTTTTTCTGTGAGATTCAACCCCTCCTGGACCTGCTTTGTGGTAACACTTTCCCAAGTGAAATTCAAGTCATTGTGGTGGCTGTCTTTGCTATTTTGTGTCCCTTCTTGTTGATCATTTATTCATATAGTAGCATAATTTCTACAATTCTTCAGATGTCATCAGCTGAAAGCCAGCAGAAAGCATTTTCCACTTGCTCCTCACACCTTTTAGTTGTGATTCTTTTTTATGGTACAGCAAGCTCCATGTATTTGCGGCCAAAATACACATATTCCGCATCTGTTGATAAATTTCTCTCACTTTCTTATTCTGTGGTGACTCCTTTGTTGAATCCTATTATTTATAGTTTGAGGAATGAAGAGGTGAAAAGGGCCTTGAGAAAAAAATTGAGAAATATTAATTTATTGTGGAAATGAAATAGAATATTTGCATTGTTTCAGGTGGTTGTAGTAGTATTTTTCATTTTCATTTGATTCTGGTGTCATTCCTGGTCTTTGATCTGAAATCATTGTTTCAAAATTCCCTCTGTGATATTTTGTTGTTCTGACTTAGCCTATCCACTTTAAGGTATGCCTGTATCCTGCTCCAATTATGCTTGCCATACCACTGACAGCTGTTATTTCATCAAGCATTGTGGCCTTGTGACTGACACCCTCAGCCTTCAAAGTCATCTCAAACATCTGCCCTTGTGCTGCATAATCCCCCACAAGCGATGTGAACTTTTGTTGTCCACTACTCCAGCTGACTCTGTTATAGTTCCATGGTGGACTGAAATACCTCTTCCATGCCTTTGTTCCTCCTTTTCCTCTTTACACCTTAGAAAATCACACTGGATTAAAAATTACTGAAATAAAGGTCTTGTTCAGCAAATGGAGCTATAAAAGGCCATATGATCTGTGCTGTACTCTGTTGATAATCCCATACAAAAAAATCCTTTGGAGTTCCTAATCTTTGATTTTCAGTGTGTACCTTCAGTGTGACCCTTCTGATGTTTTGCTGTGTGGAGAAAGTTGTCACCAAACTCTGTAGGCACAGATCAGGAAAATGGCCTTGAACACACACATCCATAAGATGTTACCAGGAAAACAAGAGAGGTCTCAGTGACCTGAATGGTGATAGGAGTCTTCGTTCACCTTCAAAAGGTTCTGAGGCTTCGCAAGCCTTTGTCTTACAGGGCTAACACTCTCTTTAACACTCAGGTGTTAAAAGTCAAAGATTTCTGGAGGTAGCATAACTTTTAAGAAGGAGAGAAACAAGCAGAAAATAATTTATTTCCACTGAGAGCATGGATGATAGTTTATACTTCTGCCTTGCCCTAGTTTATTCAGTTTAACAAAATGATAAAACTGACCTGCAGTGGCCCTTTGTGTTGAATCTTAATGCACTTTCTGACCGTGGCAAATCTTACTAAGATATTACATACAAATTTGATTCCAAAAATCAATCAATTGCCTGACCTCATTCAAAATGAAAGAAAAAAGGAAAAAAAAAAAGTACTACTATTATAGATTTGTCCACTCCTAGCAACACAGTAACTTGGCATGATGCGTGGAACTTCCTGTGATGATCTGAGTTAGCCCACCCGAGGCACTACTATTGCCTAGCCTATCTCTCTGTGGCCAACACTACTCTCTAGGGAAGATGATTATGTTTAGATAGAGGATTAATTGATTATTGATTAGATAATGAAAAGGTTATGAAACAGGTTTCTGATGTCCATTATAATCTGGAACTTATTTGCTCTAAAATTTTACCCTTGCCTTTTCAGAATAGATTCTTTGCCCTAAAACAGATGAACTTGGATCCACTCACAAGGAATAACCTGTCTAGTCATGTTTGAAAGTACTCCAAGGTAATCATGGGTGACCTGGGACAAAGGTTTTCTGAGAAAAAACTCTTAGTAAGGATATTTTAGCCCTATTTCAGCCTAATTAGAAGGCAGAGTGAATATCATAGCACTTTTATCATAGTAATTGATATCAGTGCAGAGAAAGCAATAGACTATCTTGATTACATAGACATGACATTTACTTCATCAGAGTAAAAACAATAAGATCCAGATATCTTGTGCCCATTCCCTGCCTTAGAATCAAAATTATATGCTTTTTTGAGTACTCATGGGAGGAAGAACTGGGAGATTATCTTAAAGCTGTATCCTGGTGTTATCCATAGTTTTTTGTTTTCTGGTCTGGCCTGGTCCTATTTATTACTGTTTGTGCTCAATTTTAATCCATCAGGTTTTGTTTCAAGTTTGAAGACTTGAGCCTAATCCAGTACCCTTATGTGTCAGTCAACTACCCTACTGTTTTCTTGCCCATATCCAGAACTCTTAGATCATTAGTTTAGTTTGTTCTGTCCATTTTATACCCATTTTCTCAATCTCATTCAAACCTGTTATTTCACTGACATCATCTGTCAGCCCCCACAAAACAAAATACAGTCTCCTCTGGGCTGATTTATTCATATTCAATTTCTATCCACACTTAAGAAAAACAAGTAGATTTAGTGTGGATGGAGAAAAAAAGTAAGAATGTTGTGATAGCAGTAAATTATCCATACTGTCTGAACCTAAGATTTAACAAGAATCTCCTAACACATAAACATGGATTTCTGGCTCTCATTCACTCAAGTGAAATCATCTATTTTCATTTTACAAGGACCAGCAACTTTGCCACACAATGAAGCATGCTGGGTTACATCAGTTAGATCACAACTCATTCATGTCAAAGAAGTATCAATACACCTCAGAGATATCACTAATGTGTTTCAAGAGATCTATTCCACCTAGCTTATATCACAGAAGCACTTAAGCACAAAGGCACTAAGGGATCAACAGCAATTTTCTCCAGCTTCCAGCCTAAGCCATAATATCCTGACACACGTTCAAGTTTGGGAAAATCTGGATACAAATTTTTCATTTGCAGAATCAGTGTGGACAAGTACATGGAGTAAAAAGATCTTAGATATTTGTTCTAGGTGGTGTTACCTACTAAGGAATATAAGTAAATTACTAGTTTCATTTTCCTTCTTTAATTCTCTTTAAGCTCTGAAAGGCATCCTGGTCAAACCTTTTTCCTAGGTTAGGAGCAATGAAGACTTTCTGCACTAACTAGGATGGGTTATAACCCATCCATGTTAACTTTCTCTCCTGGGCTCTTTCTCCCACATTATCTTGATGGAACTACTGGCATATCCCAACTCACTGTCTGGCCTGACACGGTTACGTAAGTTCTTTTGTTCCTTCCTGACCTCTGAAGCAAAACTACTGTATCTCATCTCTAAACATCCTCATTACCAGGTCCTTATAGCTCTTCCTGTATAAGAGGTAGAAAAGACCACAAGAGTGAGTTACAATATCCATAAGCCATTCCATCTCTGATAATGGAAGGCTTTGACCTTGCCAACACACCAATCTGTGTGTCAGATTGTCCAGGAGGCTAAACCATTTGCTAGCATTTAAAGACTGACTTCTTAACACTAATGGGACTAGATTTTGGAAGCTAGTGAGGCTAAATCTCATAAGAAATCTTTCTACAATCTTAAAAGTTAAATTACAACTCAGCATAGAGTCCCTGTTATACCATTCCTTGCAGTCAGATGTTTGACTGAAAGGAAATAATAGAAAGGAAATAATAGAAAATTACATTATGGCCTTTGCTCACTCTTAGAGAGTCAAACTGATTTGAAAAGAAGAGAAGAAAGTTTCACAGATGTGTAGAGCGTTTTGCAGTGTCTAAGTCATATCCACGAATGGCTATAAACTGTTTCATCTGTATCCCACAGATATCACTAATTCACTTCCATACACTGTACTTCTCTACATCACATTGATAGTTGGACACAATGGCTGCAACGGGGTTAGTAAATTCAGAACTGTTAACCACGGTGAGGATGGTTTTGTCCGGGTAATTTCCGGACAAAAAGGCCGATCAGAAGTCCAGTGACGCCTTTGCTAATTCCATCTTCGAGAAAACGGAAGAGAAGGTTGTTGGCGCAGTTGAAATTAGGGGCAGCAACCATGTAGGGGAGAGGAGTAGCGGGCCCGAGTAGGACCAGACTCCCTCCTCCCCTGGCTTGGGCCGGGGTGGGGGGAGCAGGTGTAGCACTGAAGTCCTCCCTTCTCTCTTATAAGAGAAGGAAAAGAAAAAGTTTAAAAGACGAACTGCTTGGACAGAAACCGCTGTGGAAAAATTCCTGCGAAGAGATAAGGGACCTCCAAGGTCAAAACTAGCAGCCGGAGGGGAGAGAAAAAAAGTTTGAAGGGGGGAAAGCTGCTTCTTCCCCCTTTTGCTCTCTCTCTTCAGCAGGGAAAAGACTGAAAAGTAAACCCTGCTACTTGTAAAAGTTTGTTGGAGTAAGGACACCTCCCATGCGGCTGATAGAGGAGTCTGTGGATGTACCAAAGAGAACTGAAACTTCATGAGAAGAACTGAAGTGAGGCAGAGTCCTGGTGGAGAGAGATTTGTGACCCTGAGGGAAACCTGTGCTGGAGCAGTGACGACTCAGGTGGGATACTGAGATCCGTGTGTGTGTGGATCTATACTGCTGTTGAAGATTTTGTGACCCTGAGAAATCTCATGCTGGAGCGAGACGGCCCATGTGAGATGTTGAGATCCATGTGTGTGGGGATCCGTGCTAGCCCCATGCTGAGAAGTCTATCAAGGACTGTTCTCCCATGGGGAGGGACCTCCATAGGGAAACAGGGGTGAACTCTTAAGCCATTATCCCCTGTAACCCTGTGGAGGAAGATCCATAGTAAGCAAGTGTCCCCTTGCAAGCCTATGGAAGGAAGACCCTTCGGGACCTGGGTAACCCCCAGCCTTCGGTCTTAGCCCAGGAGGGGGGTAAGCCCAGCCCTGGAAGCCAACACAGAGCAAGAAAGAGAGAGAAAAAGTTCCAGCTGCAACGAGAATACTGCTGCTATTGAAGATCTATTACTAGAGAGAGAGAGCTGGAACTCCGAAAATAGAGAATAAGACTACTTCTTCTCCTTGGACTAGTATATAAAAGGAGAAGAAGTATTTCTGTAAATATATAGTACTTCAACTTGAGTAGAAATTGTTGTAGATATAGTTCTTTAGTTTTTCATTTATTAGTAGTTTTTATTTTACTAGTAATAAGTGTTTATACTATTTTCCCCAAATCCTGTCTCTCTTTTGTCTGCAAAAACTTACTCTCAACTAGTAGTAATTGTGTGGGGGGTGGAAAGCAAATTGACCCAAAGCAAAACCACAACACACGGGAACATGATCACCCATGATACTACAAGTATCAGACAGAGGGCTAGCGCCAGAAACTGAGTACACTGATAGTCTTTAATTGCTCTGAGAAGCTCTGCTTCAGGTTTCCATGCCCATACTTTGACCAGGGTCTCTCTGTGCCTGTCAAGCTGGCTTTCCAAATTGCTTTCTGGATT